AAAAAAATATTATAAGTATTACAAAGGGTATTACATATGTGTCCTTTTTCCTCCGCCCTTGACAATCCCCTGGCCTCCCCTACCCCCCAGTGTCTTATGTCCATTGGTTATGCTTGTATGCATGCATACAAGTCCTTCGGTTGATCTCTTACTCCCCTCCCTTCTGCCCCCCAACCCTCTCTGGCCTTCCCACTGCAGTTTGACAATCAGTTTGAGGCAGCTCTGCCTCTGTATCTATTATTGTTCAAAAGTTTGTAATGGTCTTTATTATCCATGAATGAGTGAGATCATGTGGTATTTTTCCTTCATTGACTGGCTTATTTCACTTAGCATAATGCTCTCCAGTTCCATCCATGCTGTTGCAAATGGTAAGAGTTCCTTCTTTTTTACAGCAGCATAGTATTCCATCGTGTAGATGTACCACAGTTTTCTAATCCATTCATCTACTGATGGGCACTTAGGCTGTTTCCAGATCTTAGCTATGGTGAATTGTGCTGCTATGAACATATGGGTGCACATATCCTTTCTGATTGGTGTTTCTGGTTTCTTGGGATATATTCCTAGAAGTGGGATCACAGGGTCAAATGGGAGTTCCATTTCCAGTTTTTTGAGGAAACTCCATACTGTCTTCCATAGTGGCTGCACCAGTCTGCATTCCCACCAGCAGTGCACAAGTGTTCCTTTTTCTCCACATCCTCTCCAGCACTTGTCGTTTGTTGATTTGTTGATGATAGCCATTCTGACAGGTGTGAGATGGTACCTCATTGTTGTTTTGATTTGCATCTCTCGGATGATTAGTGACTTTGAGCATGTTTTCATATGTCTCTTGGCTTTCTGAATGTCCTCTTTTGAAAGGTGTCTATTTAGATCCTTTGCCCATTTTTTGATTGGATTGTTTATCTTCTTTTTGTTAAGTTGTATGAGTTCCCTATAAATTTTGGAGATTAGGCCCTTATCAGATATGACGTTGGCAAATATGTTTTCCCACGCAGTGGGTTTTCTTGTTGTTTTGTTGATGGTTTCTTTTGCTGTGCAGAAGCTTTTTATTTTGATGTAGTCCCATTTGTTCATTTTCTCTTTAGTTTCAACTGCCCTAGGAGCTGTATCAGTGAAGAAATTGCTTTGGCATATGTCTGAGATTTTGTTGCCTTTGGATTCTTCTAGAATTTTTATGGTTTCCTGTCGTACATTTAAGTCCTTTATCCATTTTGAGTTTATTCTTGTGTATGGTGTAAGTTGGTGGTCTAGTTTCATTTTCTTGCATATATCTGTCCAATTTTCCCAACACCATTTATTGAAGAGACTACCTTGGCTCCATTGTATGTTCTTGCCTCCTTTGTCAAATATTAATTGAGCATATTGGTTCGGGCTGATTTCTGGGGTCTCTATTCTATTCCATTGATCTATATGTCTGTTCTTGTGCCAGTACCAGGCAGTTTTGAGAACAGTGGCTTTGTAATACAGCTTGATATCTGGTATTGAGATCCCACCTACTTTGTTCTTTCTCAGGATTGCTGCAGCTATTCGGGGTCTTTTTTTATTCCAGATGAATTTTTGGAGAGTTCGTTCTAGATCTGTGAAGTATGCCGTTGGTATTTTAATGGGAAGTGCGTTGAATTTATAGATTGCTTTGGGTAGTATGGACATTTTAATGATGTTGATTCTACCAATCCATGAACACGGTATGTTCTTCCATCTGTTTATGTCTTCCTCTATCTCTTTTTTCAATGTCCTGTAGTTTTCTGAGTAGAGGTCTTTTACCTCTTTAGTTAAGTTTATTCCTAGGTATCTTAATTTTTTTGGTGCGATGGTAAATGGGATTGTTTTTATAATCTCTCTTTCTGAAAGTTCACTATTGGTGTATAGAAATGCCTCAGATTTCTTGGGGTTAATTTTGTATCCTGCTACATTGCCAAATTCATGTATTAAGTCATCCTTCAGTTCTCTGGCCAACACTCTAACCACTGAGAAATACTGTTTTAATTACTGTGCTTTATAATATGGTTTGACATCAAGAAGTGTAATGCCTTCAGCTTTCTATTTTTTTTTTAGGATTTATTTTTAAACCATTATCATGGAAGTTAATTATAACATTAGCCTTGAATTTAAACCCACTGAGATAAACTAACACAGTTCTTCACAGACATCAGTTACTATCTTCCCAGACCCCAAGATGTCATGAGACAGAGTTACATTTTATTGAATTCTGATCTATCAATAGGGAAGAGATAGTTTTTATAAAATCTTTATTGCTGAAAGTATTACATATCCCCCCCATTGGCCCCTTCTAGCACTCACCAACCCCAGGCCTTCACCATCCTATTGTCTGTGTCCATGAGGGAAGAAATATCTTTGAAAATATATTATAGCTGATGTTTAGACACCAATGAAATTAATGGTTAGAGGTGTTTTTCATCATTGTTTACTTTCATAATAAGATTACTCAGATTTAGATCACTGGCAATACTTACAAATTCATATTATTAAAACTTGTATTATTGAAGCATGCATTAATAATATATCTTTTGACATTTGTGACAACATGGATGGACTTTGAGGAAATTATGCAAAGTGAAATGTCAGAGGAAGACAAATACTATATGATCTCACTTTGTGTGTAATCTAAAATAAAAACAAAAAACCAAACTCATAAATACAGAGATTGATGGTAGCCAGAGGTGGGAGGTGAGGGTGGGCTAAACGGGAAAAGGTAATCAAAGGTATGAACTTAAAGTTATAAGATAAATAAGTCATGAGGATGTAAAGCATCCCCACTGTATTATATATTTGAAAGTTGCTAAGAGAGTAGATCTTAAAAGTTCCTACAGGAAAAAAATTATAACTGTGTAGTGATCGATATTAACTAGACTTTTTGTGGTGATGATTTTTCAATAAATACAAATATTGATGTACAACAATTAATGCAAGGTTATGTGTCAATTACACCTCAATTTTAAAAAATATTAATAAAATGCCTTTAATGCCTAGAAATTAAAATTGACTTCTTCTTCTTTTTTTTTTGAGAAACAAAATCCAAGTTTATGTATTCATTTCTTGTGTGAAAGTACACCTCAATGACATCCTTCGCCTGAGACTGTTTGCCAAAGTCCTTAACCACCACACAACTGCAACCAGCCACTTTTTAGGGTTCTTCCTCTCGGTTGATTTTACAGAGGCTACCCATTCCCCTAGTTTCTTGTTTTCATCCATTTCATTTTGGTTGGTATCATGTTCAGCACAAAGGGCCTCCACCAACTCGGCATTCATGGGCTCATCACAGTTGGATGCAAGCACACAAAGGTGTGTTTGTTTGGTGCTAAATTCATTCATGTAGAATTGCAGATACTTCTGCAACAACCTTAAAATTCCATTAAGTTAACTCAATGCTTTAGTTTTGCAAACTACTAAATGAGGGTCTCTAGACTTTCTGAATTAAAATTGCATTCATATTGCCCGGCCGGATGACTCGGTTGATTGGAACATCATCCCCTACAACTACAGGTTGCAGGCTCAATTCCTGGTCAGGGCACATACCTAAGTTTCGGGTTTGATCCCCGGTCATGGTGCACATGGGAGGTAACTCACCCATGTTTCTCTCTCTCATCAATATTTTTTTCTCTCTCTCTCTCCCCATCCCTCTCTCTCTAAAATCAATAAACATATCCTCAGGTGAGGATTTAAAAGAATAATAATTAAAACAAATAAAATTACTTTCATTACATTATTGAAGTTTGACTATTAAATTATCTGAATTTTCTCAAAAAAATTGTATAAGGCCTGAGCTCTATAGCTAGTTTAATAACATAGGAAACAAATTATTACCACACCAGCAAACAGTGCATGTTTCTCTATAATCTCTATTATGCTTAAAGCCATGGATAAATGCTAATGATTATAAATACTTCCAATTTTGTCTATTTCTGTTCACTTTTTAAAATGCTTTTCTTCCTAGGTACAAATTTATTTTCTCTTCTAAATCATATTCAACATTGTAACTTATTTTCCCATAATAGTTTTGGCAGTCACATGGTTTAGGATGCTACTCTTTCATTACTAAAGGTAGTTTTATAGAAAATTCTCCCTTTTAATCTTTGCAAACAATACCAAATGACATGGGCCTTTCATTTCACAGGTTAGTAAACATAAAGAAGAAATGGAAATGAGAAAAAAGTGGGACATCGTAAGTGGCAAGGTTTGCATTTAAGTTTTTTTTTTCTTTTATTCTGTGCTTCTCTTGTTTTGGCATCTTGAGTTTGAAAGAGAAGATGCTTATCAGTGAGGCAAGAAGTGTGAATGGGAGGCCAGGAGACTTCAGTGTAAGCAGTGGAGAAAGCGAGCCTGGCATAAGTGAAAGGTGTCATCCTGGCGTACTGATGCTCAGGCTCAATGGCTTGTCTCCACTTCCTGTCCCTTCACTCCTACCTTCTATTCCCCTGCCTTCTTACTAAGATACAATCCTCAAGCTACCACCATACCCCACTCCTTTTCCAGGTGACTCCAGAAACCATTGATCTGAAGGTATGTTATTCTTTGTACACTAACATTAATTTGCAAGTTAAATTAGGCCTGGAGGGGGATTGCAGGACTGGGAGCAAGAACAGATCCAGGCCCTTTGGGACGGAACACTTTCACTCTGCTACTTCAGCTCAGGGCAAGGGAGGAAAATAAAGGGACACGAATCCAAAGAAGGAAGTGAGAATAACAGAGTTGGTTCTTTTTGTGTGCCAGAGCTCAAGATCATTGAAGGGGAAAGAGCTCACGTTTTCGCCATGGCCCTCACAACACAGGATCAAGCCATCTTCTTTTCCCACCACTTCAGGGTCTAAGACAAAAAGAGGGAAGACTTCAAGGAAGTCTTTAAAGCAAAAGCACCATGAGGTAAGAACTGCTCCAGTGGCCACGTCCTGTGACACCTTCTTCTGCACAGGGGCTCCTGTGCTGTTAGCAATAGCGAAACCGCAGCCATACCTCACACCCAGCATCAACAAGGTCGCCAGTCTCAACACACCTGATTCTCCTGACTCCCTGCACACATCTGGGCAGGGGCTCTGGGTGCTTTTCTCAGCACCAGTATGTCTTTGTTAGGTCCCTTAACTTACCCAAGAAGATGCCACCGCTATCCCCAGCTCAATGGCTTATTTAACTTAGTCAGTAAGGCTTCGTAGATCTCTATTAAATTAGCAAGATTTGGAGAGTCTATATGCCACGCATTTTCTAGGCTGTATAATCTCTAACTCATTACTGCCCAATAACTATCAGAAGCTTAACGAAGCTTCCCTCAAGGACAAGCAAGTATTCAGAGTGCTTGCTCGTAGTATTCTAAATAGACACCTGGGACTGGCTCACACTATCAGAGCCGTGCATGCAAGAATTAGCTGCTATTGCCATCTGTTTGCACAGCCTCCTTCCCCAATGATCAGAATTGCTTTTGCTGGGTATGCGGTAGTACAGTTCATCTACATAAAGGGCATGTCCAGAAGTAGCTCTGTGATGTTCAGTTCGACGTGGGCTTGTTCTGTGGACGTTGCTGAGGCACTGCTCCTGGCATTACACAATGCCTCCCTTTATGTGGTCTTTTGGGGAACTTTCTTCTGCCCTTAGTTATGGGACCGGTTGTCTTTCTCTGAGCAATTGATCCTTCCTGTGAGCACTGTGAATTGTGTAACTGGTCAAGGCTCCTTCTCCACATGGGCTCTCCGGAAACTTAGAAGTCACTCGGTGAGTCACCTAGCCAGCGCACAGCACTTCAGGAAGAGTCTCTCCGCCTGCATGTTTGATTCCCATACTCAGTTTTTTTCTGCACATGTTCCCATGTCCTTCCTCCTGCTCCCACAGGGGGCAGAGCTGCCTCCCTAACACGCAAGGCACGGAGGGGCTGAGCAGAACCCTGTGCCTGTGTCGTCCTTGCTCCACTGGGCACAGAAAGATCTGGGCATCTCATGCCAACTCCCAGGCAGATGGCTCACTGCTCGTAGCCAGCGGAGGAGTGAGACAACAGGTAGAGAGAGGCCAGGGGTTGAGAAAAAGCATTGTCTTCTAAAAATACTTTCACTTTGTAGGAAGGCTAGTCAACTGGAAACTACTGTAATTTCTCAAGGAGGAGAATGACATTTGGGGGGAAATTTGGCACATGACTGGCCCGTGTTTGGGTTCTAGAAGTAAGATTTTTAGAATCCAGGTCTTGGGAAGCTTTTATTTTTGATTCACAAAAGAACAACAAAACAAAGACACAAACAAGAGAGAACCCTGCCTGAGTAGGTGGTGCTGCCTGCTGACTGGGCAGGAAGACCAGCCATACTGGGTGAGGGGCTCTAGTCCATGCCTTGGACTTAGTAAGCCTGTGGTCAAGCCCATATCCTGTTCCAGAAGGCTCTGCCAGCTGCCAGAAATCAAGCCGAAGGGCCGGCTCTGTGCGTCAAGGCTCTGAGATGAATGTGGACAGGGCTGCCCAGCAGAGTTAGCAACTGGACAGAGTGACGGGTCCTGGAGCCCAAGATGACAGCAGCAGGGGGAGCTGCCCCCATTCCCACAGCAAGCCCAGGGCTGTAAGTCAGTCCTAGAATTCCAGTTTAGAAACTCCTCAATTTACAGATCAAAACGGAGTTTCCAAAATCGCAGCCACAAGGGACAGGAATACTGCCTGTTCTCACAGAACATACACAATAAAGGAGAGACAAAGGTAGACAGGATCTCTCAGAAGATGTCATTTCAATAGGATTTTCTCGTAGGGTAACAGTTTATCCTTCCTACCGCTATTACGGTTATCTTGCTGTTGCCAACGCATAATAGTACATTTTGTTAGCTGGATAGACTCTGAAGTTAATGTGTAATAAGTGAAAATTGGACTGGGGGAGGGGAGAGATGACGTTTTGTTAGCTGGATAGACTCTGAAGTTAATGTGTAACAATAAGTGAAAATTGGACTGGGGGAGGGGAGAGATGACGTAACCTGGTATTCCATCTTTCTATTAATTAACTTGATTTTACAGCGTAATGTAGTTTTCTAGTTCACCGTTATTACTAGCATATGTACTTTTGTTGTTAATAATAATTCTGTTATTATAAGGGCCCCCTTATATCACCTTCCCATGTGGTCTATTCTTCACCATAGGTTAACTATAGGCACTCTGGTTAGAATTTTTCTGTTTCTCTCTTTTAATTATTTTATTATATTGAGGTAGTTGTACACCTTAAACATGATCTTTAAAGGTTTTATAATACTACCATGTGTAAAGGATCAAACGGAGAGCTTGCTGCAGGAACTTTTAAATCAGTCATTTAACTTATCCAATTAATCATACTTATTTTTTGAAATCTGTGTCATTCGGTGGGAACAGCACACATGTTTCACTCTGGAGTACACAGTGATAAACTGAGTGTTTAGCCAGTCTGAAAAACGCGATATGAACATTGCTGTCTGATTTCTATTTATGAACGATTTCACAACTTAAAATTTGTATTTGGACAGCGTTTTGTGCAAAGTTTATTTTTTGATATCTGTAAAGCATTTCAAATATTAATGTTTCACAGAACAAGGTTAAATTGGATTTCCAGGTCCCCCTACCCCACCCCCCGGCCAGGGTAATTCGTTAATTGAGGTTGCACCCATTGAATGCTTCCCTGGAAGATTTCTGAGCGTCCGTGGGGTAACCTGGTCTATGCTGGCGGAACATATGGTGTGTGCTCAGATCCGCAGAAAGCAGTAGGACCCTTCTTTGTGGGAAATGGGACATGGGACAAGGTCAGTTATGTTCCCATTCTTAAAGTGCATGCAACACAAAGCAATTTGTACTTGATACGAGACTTTAATTAAAACTCTAGAACATGATTCTTTTCATTCCAGAGTTGTTAGGTGAAATATTTTTTTTTCAATAGTTTTGCAATTGTGACCATAGTCACCCTTCAGGCTAGTATTTTTTTAAAAAGTTATTATTATAGGATATAGAATTATTATTATTATTAAAGGTATATATATCATAGGCTATTTGGGTGAAGGGAAAATCTTTCTTTCTGAAACTTCCCATTCCTTTCCTCTACAACCTGTTTATTTGACTAAATTGCACATGAAGTTTAAAATAAATGCCACCTGAGAAGAAAATAATATAACCTGTTCATTGTTTCATTCTTTTTTCCTGTGGCTTGGTTGGATAAAGCAGACACTTAATAGTTCCACAGAGCATTGTGGCAAAGTCAGCATTTTGCTCATTGTTGATCTGGCCCCAGGGGGTGGTGCCGCAATACAGCGATAGAACCATTCTGGACACGTGCATGGTCTTCAGATGCTGTCAAAGAATATTTACTGTATTTTGATAGATTATGTTGACACAGAATTCCCCTTATGCTGTATCTCAATCTCATATTATGAATAACTTTAAAATATAGAGGTAAATGAAGTAATATACCAGTACTACAATTATTTGCTTTATTTTGAAATCAAAATTTTCATTTACCGTTAAAATGAGTTCAACTTTAGATTCTGTTCTCAGAGAACTGAAATAGAAAATCTCCTATTTAAAATTCAACCGAAAGGGGGCTTTTACTTTCTACAGCATATTTAAGGGATTATAAATTAATTGGGTCATCTGGAAAACCAGATGGGCTGAGCCCCAAAATGGCACCAGCTCCTACAGCATTTTATTCTGAATAGTGTGATGACAAATTGAATACTTTCCATTTGTATTTGGAAAATAAAATATTTGCAACTAAAAATATTTTAGTGAAAATAATATTTAATACTTGTTGCACAAATAAATTTTATTGCTAAAATCACTTGAGGGGTTTTATGCTTTGTCTCTTCTTGTATATTTGTTGGAGGATGATTATAAAATTTTGTTTATATTTCAGTATCATTTAACTTAAATCCTAAGATATTACCATAAAAACCAGGAAAAGATAAATCTGAGGTTTGCATCAATTTCTAGTCTTCCTTAGACATTTTCAGTCATGGGGTGAGATGGTAGGTCCTGACCACATGTAATATCATCCTTGACTTTTGGGAGCACACAAAGCAGCCATCTTACCCCCGACTGCTTGGTGTTGCTTCATTTTATCTGCCTGGTTTCAGCTGTGGTCTTCTCTCCAGTCCCCATTGGGAGTTGAGGCCAGTCTTGAACACCAAGTCATTTGGCCAGAGTCCTGACACTGCCCAGACTTGGGTCTTACTCCCAGAGGACTGAACACTTTGAATTGCTGTCACTCATCCTAATTGCCATGATTGATTCTGTTGTTTGGTGCTATGAGTTATATTATAGAACTGCTTCACTACTGACGCTCAAGGCCAGAATCAAGCGCAAGGTACCCACACCCTTTTGGACACTGGCATTGGACTGTCATCTACCCTTTTTGGATCCAACACTAGCAACTTGTTAGTTTCCCCAGCCCCGATGTCTTCAGGCCTAGGGTCTCCAGGTCCCAGCTTTCTCCTCAAACCCTAAGGACGTTTATGTAAATTACAATACATATCAATTTTTTTCAGGAATGTATTTTCATGGAGGGTGGTATTTAAACTTTTCCTCATTTGATACCCTTTGTTTTCTTCTACTCAGTGTAATCTCTTCTTGTTCATCAAGAAAACCTTAAATGAAACAAAAAAGTTAATTGACCCTGTCCTATGTGGCTTAATCGTTTGAGTATCAGCTCGTGCACCCAAGTGTCTCAGGTTTGATTCCTAGTCAAGTGCATGTACCTGGGTTGCAGATTCGATCCCCAACCTGGTTGGGGCCCATGCAGGAGGCAACTGATCAATGTGTCTCTCTCACATTCATGTTTCTCCCTCTCTCTCTCTCTCTCTCTCTTTCTCCCCCCCTCTCTCTTCCCTTCCTTCTGCTCTTTCTAAAAATCAATGGAAAAATATATCCTCAAGTGAGGATTAACAAAAAC